AAAAAAACGTAAACCGGAAGTCTTTTATAAAGTCTTCCAGTACATAATTTATGTAAACCAGAACTCTTTGCATAAGTCTTCCGGTTTGAGAAAAAAAGTATACCGGAAGTCATTTTGAAAGTATTCTGATAAACTCGTGTGTTGAATTCCTCGGAAGACTAAAAAAATATGACACTGTAAAAAGTATATATATATATATATATATATATATATATATATATATATATATATATATATATATATATATATATATATATATATATATATATATATATATATATATATATATATAATAAAAATATAGGGATAAAATTGGTATTTTTTTAAAATTGTAGGGGTATGAGTATAAATGCAGGGGTATGAGGTAAAATCTTCACTTTGTGAATGGAATGAGTGTTTTTGACAATTGAAAATTACATGGATTTTTATGAATGGGCTTTTGGCTTTTTGAATTTCAATTCATGAGCCCAAAATTTTTTGTAACATGGATTCTATGTATTGATGGACTATGCTTCTTGAACTATTTTCAACTTGCTTGAACCAATTCTTGAATCGTTGACTAAAATCTTAAATTACTTTGAGAAGTGACTAAGAAGTGAATCAAACTTGACTTAATTTTGAACTGAGTGACATGCTTAATTTAACTTCCAAGAATCATCCATACAACCAAGTTTTATCATTTTGAACTCTCCATTAAAATCGAACTGGAACTAAAACAAATGGATCCATCTTGAAACGATATTGAACTAAATAACAAGTTTGAATTCCCCTTGAACCCACCATACAACCAGGACTTACAAATGACTAGAAATGTAGACCAAATGCCTTGACATTTGAAGGCTCTTTAATTTGACTTTAAATCTGATGACTTGAACTTGCACAAACTCTGGTTTAGAACCTCAAACACAAATCACTTGAATTATGCACACCCTGACCTTGATCATGAAACAAACTCTTGTTTGACCAAGATTAGGTCGAACCAGATGAACTTTAATCAATACCACACACACACCTGACCTGATAACCCTGCGTGAATAACTTGGACTTAGGCAATGAGAACAATGAAAGCAGAAGCAACATATTTTTGAAATTTTGAATAATAGTTAATAGATGGAGAAACAAATAAGGATAATATACATGTACGACAAATTTAGGGTATGACAATACCTTGTGCTAGAAGGTAATGATCTTGGAATTATATACTCTAAAGGTGAGGGGTATGTGACTAATTATGTAGAACTTTGTGGCGTGGTGAGAATGACTAATTAAATAATATTAGTAATTTTAGTTGAATATTATTAATTTAATTAATTAGTGAATATTATTATTATTATCTAATTTGTGGAATAATAATAATAATAACATTATTATTATTATTATTATTATTATTATTATTATTATTATTATTATTATTATTATTATTATTATTATTATTATTATTATTATTATTATTATTATTATTATTATTATTATTATTATTATTATTATTATTATTATAGAAAAAGGGGAAGTTGAGAGTAATTTGTTGTTAGATTATGAAACCTGAGCAAAGTGAGAAAGGGGAGAAGAAAGGCTAAGGCTTGGGAGAAAAGAGAAGAGAGGCTAACCGGTTACACTGCTGTTTTTTTTTGTTGAAAAATCTTCTAAAATTCATAACTTTTGTTCTCGGAGTCCGATTCGAGTGTCGTTTGAAGTGTTGGGAAGCTGACGTGTTGAACTTTTGTATAAAAATAGTTTTGGTGGCATAAATTGAATAATTATGTGGTTGGATGTATTAAACGCATTATTATCATTATGTTGTGGTGTGATATGATTCTAAATGCCTTGTGGATGTTTGCTATGTTGTATGTCGTTGTTGCAAGATTGTATGGCATTTTGTTGTTGTTGTTGGCCTGTAGTTCCATATTGCATTGTTAGATGGTCGTTGTCGTTGTTGTCATGCATTTCATGATTGCATGAGTTGTGACATAAGTTGTGTGCTCATGTGGGGTGTGAGCGTCTTATTCAAATTTTGATTTTGGAATCGTATCGTTGTTGTTATTATTGTTGTTGAGGTGATTGTGTGTCCATGTGGGGTGTGAGCCGTCACGGTGATCGTGTGCCTAGGTGGGGTGTGAGAGGTCACGTAAGTCGTGTCCCCATGTGGGATGTGAGCGGCATTATGAAAATCCTGACGGGAATTGTGATCCTGAAATAAGGATCAAGTTCGGAAATAGGAACCTATGGTACCACATGCATTTAGTCGAGTTGTGAGTCTTAATGCATTGTATTTTAGTTGCGTTCGTTGGTCTGTTGGATTTGTTGACATCTTGGTTGTAGCCATTGTTATATGGTTGCATGTTGTGGAATGGGTGTTTGTACATGAATAATCTAATGTTTCCTTAATTATCATGCTTTACTTTATCTAAATTATGATATCGCATCCCTTCTGTTTGAATGTTGCCTTTGCATGGGCATCGTGCAGATAATCCACATTAGAGGAGTTGAAGTGAGTGAAGATGAAGTCTTCTATTTTCCTTTTAGTGTCGGCGTCTGCTCTGATGTGTAACACCGGGGTCAGAGAACGTTGTGTTTTTGATGTGTTGAGAGAGATTTTTGGATATCTCTAGAATTATTGTTGTTTATGTTTATTTTGAAGAAATAATTATGCCATGAATAATTGTTTATGTTGTTGCTTCCGTTGTTTCAATAAAGTTTTGAGATTTTAGATATGTTGAGTTGTTATAGTTATTATAAATAATTTTTAAATAAATAACATGTGTTACATATCTGGTTATATTAGCAGCTATAGTATGAATTGTGTGACATCCTGAATATATTTTGATGAAATTACTCTGATTTATATTTAAATTACTTGGGGTATATTTGGGGGTGTTACAATGTATCCTATGCCCCACCGATCCATTGGCATCTCTAATTCGAGGCATGACATTGGTTCTTGCTCTGCCTAAAGTTTGGATGATCTTTCCATTTGTGTAAGCCCTAAAGGCCAATAGTTTTATTAAAACTTGGTATTATGTTTGTTTTTCCAAAGTAAGAAAGTCCCTAGAATACATAATATATTTGATGAAACATTAAGTGCGACTTAATCGTGAGATTCCATTAAACATACGGACATCATTCTTGGATAAAGAGTTATTAAGTATTCATATAAGTATAAATATTAGGAGTAATGATTGACCTTCCTTGAGATTACTACATAGAGTGTTATGTAAGTGTCAAATGATATTCTCATGGTGATAATGGTGTATAACACTCTTCCACCTAAAAACGCTATGGAGCCTAGATGTGGCGTTGATTACTTTATTGTCGATCAAATATTATCGTATCAGGATGACCATAAACACGGTCAATGGGTATTCCACGAATTATGTTGAGGGATATGAGAGACGTAAATGGAATTTACCCATCCTGTGTAGCATGATAAATGTCTAAGAGGCCAATATTAAATCAGACAAAGGTGACACAGTCTATGCCTTGTGTTCAATAATAGACATGAGGATACAAAGGTAATTATACACATAAATATTATCACATAAGTGTTTTGTTAAATTACATGACATTTTCATGACTTGAATAACACTAATGAGCTGTTATAAATGAGATTGTTATAGTTATTGATTTGTCTTGTTCGACCTTTCGAGATATTTTATCAAAGCTTTTAGTTAGGCATTTGTTTTCTTTTGACTAGCTAACAATGTACTTTGAGTATCAAGTGCTATAACTCATTTTCTTTTTTTAACTTTATTAATTAATGCTCAATACTCATTCTACACCATATTTTCTTTGAATTACTTAACTTCCATTTCATCCTTGTCCATCATAGTGTCTGCTACTAAGCCATCAAAAAGCATTCAAGTGTTACCTCTTAAACCTTGTATAAACCAAACTACATGGTTTGACCAACTTATAATAAATCCATCTAGCCTTGCTTATTCTAAGGATAGTATAAACATTCAAAGTTAAAAGTTTTGAAAAGGAATACATGAATTATAAGAAAAAATTGCATTCCACTACTTGTGGTATAACCATTCAAAGTCATAAGGTTTGAAAAGGAATACATGAATTACAAGAAAAAAATTGCATTCCACCGGAGAAAGAACATACATCCTAGACCTATGGAACTTTACACTCGTCTATCAATGATTAGAGTTTGGAACCCTTGAAAATTAGTATGGTTTTAGTTTAAAAAGAGAATTTTGGAATCACAAAAATCGCATCACGATGCGATGTTATCGTACCACGATTTTTCATTAAAGTGACATGGATTATTGGGTCATAGAAAAATCGTGGCACGATTTCAATAAACTAATTCTTTCTTCTAATTGAATATATGATCGCGCCACAATTCTCGCTGATCATAACACACTTTTATCCCAGTAAGTCTTTCTTTTTTAAATTATTGTGTTCCGTTTTCAATTCATTTTTCTTCACTGTAACCTCCACCATACCTGAACATTGATTTGAGGTGAGTTGAACTTTTCAAATAATCATGATTTAAAATGCTACAAAACAAATAAAATTGATAAAATAAAAAATAATTAAAACAATATAAAAACTTAATAAAAATAATAGTATAACTAGATCTCTTCAACATTAGAGACACAAATTACATTTAAAGTTAAATATTACAAACCTTTTAAATAATATATAATATTTCAATATACTTTACATTGATAATATTTAATCAACAATGATTAAAAAATGTAATAACCATTTCACCATTTGTCACATAATGCTTTTGAGTAATTCACTCCAACAACATAAATTACATAACAGATTTTGGGCTCACTATATTGAATTTGACTTCTTGACAACTTACATGGAAACACACGTACAAAAAGATTTCAAGAAAACTAAAGAAGCTATAAGATTGAGAGATACTGATTTCATCCTCAATTCATTTTCTGCCAAAGATTTCCAATTCCTTGATAGAAGGATCGTGTGCCATGTGCCCTCGTTCTGATGTGACTCATTTGTGACATATCTACTGTCTTAATTTATAGAAGGAAAGGGACTAAAATCATCCAAGGAAATGCAGAATCCATTGCCATGTTCTCTTTCTGAGCACATGAAGAAACATGTGGCTTTGAGCAGAGAAAGAAATTTCTTGACTCCAACCCTAATAACTTCTCGTCCCGCTTCAAACCTGCACCAACACAAAATAAATGTCATCTTCTTAAAATTTAAATTAGCCTTAAATATTTATAATCTTTTAGTAAGAGCTCATTACTTTGGAAAGTGAATTTGGAATAGTGAAGGTTATAAGACTTTGGGTCATAGTTCTTCAAAATTGGTCTCCGTTTTTCCTTCTCATAAAACACCAACGCTGCCTTTATCAAATCTTCAACTGTGTCTTCAGACAACATCAGCACCTGTATTGCACCCAAGCTGTTGTCGATTGTCACCTTCAGTAGCAGTTTCGATGGCCGAAGAATGGAGTCATTTGTTTGCATTTTCGATGTCAGAGAAGTCGAGACATATCGGCGTTTGACGTTGGTGGAGGGTTTCTCTGGAAGTGAGTTATGGTGGAGTTTGCGGCAAGAACTTAATGGAGTCTTGCCGGAGAAATTTCTCCGAGGTGGCGGAGAAGTCATGCTTATAAGGATAAGAATGTTTGCTTTCTTTGTTTTACTGGTTTTGTTAAGAGATGGTTTAGAAGCATGATGCGGGTGTGAGTAATGTTGTTTGAACTAGTTAAGCAAAAATAATAGAACAAACAAACAATTTATGTTTGGTTGGTTATGGATAGGAAGTTTCTTAGAAAGTGGCAAGATTTTTAGCTTTAAGTACGAGAAATTGTCACGGAAAGAGGTGGAATTTCAACCGTTTGTTTAGAACAATTTTGTCAAATTCTCTGCGTGAGGTGGGTTTGTTTGAGATATCCAGGGACCAGAACTTCTTCTCAATAGATTTTTTTTCTTTTCAATTCACCTCTACTATGAGCCTTCCTCTAAATTTTTTAATCTAGCACTAATTGAAATAATGCTTATAAATCGGGGGTGTAGCTCATATGGTAATATGGTAGAGTGTTTGCTTCCATGCGAGAGGCACGGGGGTTTGATTCCCCGCACCTTTATTGAAATTATTTTTAATAGTTGGTAAAAATAGAAAAATAATAATATTTGAAAGAGTGTTGAGGTAGATAATATTAATTTTAAAATTAAGTTTATTAATTTTGTTTATATTAGTTTTGTTATGTATAGTTTAAATAGCTTTAATCTTAATTTTTAAAAGTAAGATGAAAATATAAAATATGTCAGGTTGTATGAGCACTTAAGAATCAATACAAGAATAAAGTAAGTGTAATATAGATGAGAATATTGTCTTTATGTGTGGTAAGAACAAATAAAGATAAGATTAGAAATGAAAATATTAGAAAGAACATTATGATAAAACATTATGATGTAATTTGATTTATGTGGCTGACCGAATTAGCGGGATAAAGTTGGGTTGTTGTTGTTTTTGTTGTATATATATTTATAAAGTCTATTCTCATTTTGAAAAACTCTAAAAATATAAAACTAGTTAGAGCATCCACACTCATCAACCACATTTTAGTTCTTTAAATGAGACCCACATAATTTTTTATATTATATTACACTTTTAAATTATTTAAACAACACAACTACATTTTCTAAATATCCATACAACTCATCAAATTTGTAAAATGGGTCCCACTAAATATCACAATATATCTTATATTAAATTTTTTTACAATCATTTCCAATTAAACAATTAATTAAATGCACATGTGGCACTTGTAGGAACGTTGTTTAATGTGACAACGGTTGCAAACTAAATAACTGTGTTATTATGCAATTATCCATCATTTTCTGACACAGTCACCTTGGTAATAGTGTAGGAACTATATATTTGGACTGATAATTATGCTCTTACTTTGATTGTTATGTGAACGAAACTGGCTCTACACATAATTAATGTTTAATCAAGTGATTTCTTCTAACAAAACAGTACATTAAAAATAATAAATAAAATAAATAGACTTGAGGAAGAAGATACTAGAAGGGAAGGTGCTATAACCTAAAAGATTGATAAGTTAAGAAAGTTTTGCCACAATGGTAAACATATCATTGACAATGATCAATTAAAGTTCTAATCTAGCACTAATTGGAATAATGCTTTTGGAGTGAACTTTTGCAGCACAAATATATTTACAAATTGGGGGTGTAGCTCATATGATAGAGCGCTCACTTCACATGCAAGAGGCATAGGGTTCGATTCCTTGCACCTCCACTAAAATTACTTTTTAGAAATGAAAATATTAGAAATAATGTTGAGATATCACGCATAGTAAAAATGATGATGAAAAATAGACTTAGGTCATTTGCGTATGAAAAGACATGTAATTTTTTTTGTAAGGAGATTGTATCAAATGAAAATTAGTCAAATAACTAAAAGTAAAAGAAGATCTAAATAATCTATATGAGAAATTGTTAAAAAAAGATTTTGAGATTAACAAAATGGATAAAAACATGGTATTTGATAGAACATTATGATGTAATTTGATTCATGTGGCTGACCTAATTAGCGGGATAAAATTGGGTTGTTGTTGTTTTTGTTGTATATATATTTATAAAGTCTATTCTCATTTTGAAAAACTCTAAAAATATAAAACTAGTTACTTTGATTGTTATGTGAACGAAACTGGCTCTACACATAATTAATGTTTAATCAAGTGATTTCTTCTAAAAAAAGATTTTGAGATTAACAAAATGGATAAAAACATGGTATTTGATAGAACATTATGATGTAATTTGATTCATGTGGCTGACCTAATTAGCGGGATAAAATTGGGTTGTTGTTGTTTTTGTTGTATATATATTTATAAAGTCTATTCTCATTTTGAAAAACTCTAAAAATATAAAACTAGTTACTTTGATTGTTATGTGAACGAAACTGGCTCTACACATAATTAATGTTTAATCAAGTGATTTCTTCTAACAAAACAGTACATTAAAAATAATAAATAAAATAAATAGACTTGAGGAAGAAGATACTAGAAGGGAAGGTGCTATAACCTAAAAGATTGATAAGTTAAGAAAGTTTTGCCACAATGGTAAACATATCATTGACAATGATCAATTAAAGTTCTAATCTAGCACTAATTGAAATAATGCTTTTAGAGTGAACTTTTATAGCACAAATATATTTACAAATTGGGGGTGTAGCTCATATGGTAGAGCGCTCGCTTCGCATGCGAGAGGCACGGGGTTCAATTCCCTGCACCTCCACTAAAATTACTTTTGATTGTTATGTGAACGAAGCTGACTCTACACGTATTTAATGTTTGATAAAGTGATTTCTTCTAACAAAGCAGTACATTAAAAATAATAAATAAAATAAATAAACTTGAGGAAGAAGATACTAGAAGGGAAGGTGTTGTAACCTAAAAGATTGATAAGTTAAAAAAGTTTTGCCACAATGGTAAACATATCATTGACAATGATCAATTAAAGTTCTAATCTAGCACTAATTGGAATAATGCTTTAGCACTAATTGGAATAATGCTTTTGGAGTGAACTTTTGTAGCACAAATATATTTTTATAAATTGGGGGTGTAGCTCATATGGTAGACCGCTCGCTTCACATGCGAAAGGCACGGGGTTTGATTCCCCACACCTCCACTGAAATTACTTTTAATATACGGTAAGAATAAAACAAATAACAAATAATAATATTTGAAATAGTGTCGAGGTAGATGATATTTATTTTAAAATTAATTTTGTTTATATTAGTTTTGTTATGTATAGTTTAAATAGCTTTAGTCTTAGTTTTTAAAAGTAAGATGATAATATAAGATATTTCACGTTATATGAGCACTTAAGAATCAATACATGAATAAAGTAAATATAAAAAAATATGAGAATATTGTCTTGATGTGTGATAAGAAAAATAAAGATAAGATTAAAAATAAAAATATTAGAAATAATGTTGAGATATCATGCATTGTAAAAAAGATGATGAAAAATAAACTTAGGTCATTTGAGTATGAAAAGTGTTATGGACTGGGCCGAGGTTTAGCCCACAATCAGTGGACCCAAACCCCATTGTGATTGGGCCCAGTAAGGCCACACCAACGAACAGGGACCGCAAAAATAGCCCCTTCCGAGCAGGCTAAAGGCCTTCTGCTGTCGGGCAGGATCCTCGCTCTCGGCCAGTCCACCCTTTCCTCCTCACCGTCGGTCAGGACCATCGCTTCTGATCAGACGGCCACCTCTGCCCGGGGGAACCCCCAACGCTCCCCCATGTTCTCTACGTGCCCCTCACGCAGGGACACACCACGAGGTAACGACCCACTTCCGAAAGTTCCGATCTTCCTTCTCCCGGATAGTGCAGAGCAGTTACCCTAGGGCGTGGACCACGTGCCGATCTTCACAATGCCACATCAGCCCTAGCAGTTGCCATCATTGGGCTTGGCAGCCCAGCCCAGTGTTAGGCAACCATTGGCCCTTTGCTGGGGGCTCAATATAAATACCCTCTTCACTAGAGGGTCAGGTAACTTTTCTTCTTACCCTATTTATGTATTTCTTTTCGCTCCGTCCAATACCTTACTTTGGAATCGAAGTGTTTTGCAGGTACACCCCCATCTCCTCCTCAAACACCGACGAACAGGTAGCAGTCCAGCAGAGTGCGGCCAGTCAGTGATCCCCTTCTGATCAGGTCAGATCAGTGGCGCCGTCTGTGGGAACATAAACTTCCCCGTTCCTTCGAGCAGAGAACCAAAAGTTTCCTCAATACTTCCTGATCATGTCTAGCCCGCACCACGATGGTACCGTTCACGACCTAATCCAGGCTCCCGCCACGAACGATAGCAAGAAAATAGGGACATCCAAACCCCCAGAGATTAACGCGATGAACGGCCTGACTGCCTCCCCCTCGTCCGATGAAGCTGCTCGCCAAACTATTCCTTGGGCGGGGAGCGCGACTACCTTCTAGCCCATCCTCGTCCTGACCGTATGGATCCAACGGTGGTCGCCCTCTTCGCGACCATTAATCAAACAAGTCAGCTGTTGTTTCAACAGAACAAGTGTATTGGCGCACTAGAGCAAGAAGCCCCGTTAAGGTCCCCTCCGCGGGAAGACCAAAATGGAAACTCGAGGAGCCTCTCCCCTCGTCCCAGAAATTGTCGACCTCGGCACAAAAGGCCCCAACCCATGGCCGTGAGGGAGCAAACTAGGTCACCCAGGAGAGAAAGACGAGTCCGGAGGACTAGGGTGGATCCCCCAGCCAGGCCACCGCGAGTCGAACCCCTGGTCAGGCAACCGAGGGTACGAAATCAAGCTCCTTCGCCACAAGGTCCATCACCCCCTCAGTCCCCGATTCTTAGCAACGAGGACGACTATCCGACTCCCCTGTCTCGGGAGATCATGGCGGTCCCCATCCCCCACGGGGTGGAGAAGCCCCTAGTACTCTTGAAGTATGACGGTACCTCCGACCCGGACGACCACCTAGAGGACATCGAGGCCATGCTCGATTACCGCAACGTCCGAGGAGCCATCAAGTGCAGGCTCTTCCCAACAACACTGAGGAAAGGCGCGATGACATGGTACAAGAGCCTGGAGCCAGAGTCCGT